AAAAGAATCCAAAAAACTGAGGGTAGTATAAACAGCCTCTGGGACAACTTCAAGAGGTGCAACATTCACAGCATAGGGGAGCCAGAAGGAGAAGAGAAAGAGCAAGAAATTGGAAATCTATTTGAAAAAATAGTGAAAGAAAACTTTTCTAATTTGGTGAAGAAAACAGACATGCAAATCCAGGAAGCACAGAATCCCAAACAAGAAGTATGCAAAGAAGCCCACTCCAAGTACATCATAATTAAAATGCCAAAGGTTAAAGATAAAGAGAGGATCTTAAAAGCAGCAAGAGAAAAGAAGTTAGTTACCTGCTGGGCAGTTTCCTTAAGACTGTCAGCTGATTTCTCAAAAGAAACTTTGCAGGCTAGAAGGGACTGGCAAGACATATTCAAAGTCATGAAAAGCAGGGACCTACAGCCACGATTGCTCTATCCAGGAAAACTATCATTTAGAATCAAAGGGCAAATAAAGAGCTTCACAGACAAGAAAAAACTAAAGGAGTTCATCATCACCAAACCATTATTATATAAAATGTTAAAAAGGCTTATTTAAGGAAAAGAAGAAGATCAAAGCTATGAACAATAAAATGGCAAAAATACATATCTATCAGCAATTGAATCTAAAAAACAAATTAAGCAAACATGAAGAAGAGAGACAGAATCATGGGTTTGGAGAAGATTTTGATGGTTGCCAGATGGGAGGGGTGTGGGAGAGAATGGGTGAAAGGTGAAGGGATTAATAAGTACAAATAGGTAGTTAGAGAACAGCCCTGGGATGTAAAGGACAGTACAGGAAATGGAGTAGCCAAAGAAGTATATGCATGACCCATGGACATGAACAATGGTGGGGGATTGCCTTGAGGGAGTGGGTGGGGGTGCTGGGTGGAGGGGGGTAAAGGGGAAAAAATCAGGAAAACTGTAAACGCATAATCAATAAAATATAATTAAAAAAAAGAAAGTCTGAGATCCTTAGTCAGGCATTCAGGGTCTGGCCTGCGCCAAAGGAGCATGCCTTTCTCAGGCCATGACAGATTGCTTTTACCCTGCTGCAAATGCGTCTGGCTTTCTGGGACCCTTACCTCACCCCCAAGATTTTGTATGAGCTTTTCATTCACATAGGCACCTTTTTTTAAAAATTTAATCAAGATGCGCATGGTACTAATTATACAACTTGACATTATTACGAACACTTTACAAATATTACCTCATTTATCCTCACAACTCTATGTTGTAGGCATTATTATGACCCCATTTAATAGATAAGGATGTTGAGGGGAAAGGAGGGGAAGAGGCATGGATTCACACCCAAGCAGCCCAGAGCCAGAATCCGCGCTCTTAGCCACGACTATATTGCTTAAACGTCTTCCAATTCACTTGCCTGTACCTCTCCCCACACCACCCCTGACATCCTCGAGCTCTCACCGTTCCCAGTTCCCACTTTTGCCTCCCATTATGATAAAACAATTTGACTGCCTATTTGACTTTTTCATTTTTAAAAACTTGTTTCTTGCGGTGTAACACATCAATAGAAGCCAGGCATAAGTGCACAGCTCTCAATGAATTGATACTAAGTAACCACCCATGTAACCAGCATGGAAAACAGGAAACAGAATATTCCCAGCATTCCAGACTCTTGGGTCTCCTACTCAGACCCCAAAGACAATTGTGATGTCTATCACCACAGATTATTTTCACCTTATTTAGAACTTTATCTAAACGGAACCATACTGTACATGCTCCTTTGTGCCTGTTTTATCTTGCTCCATGCAACATTTATGGAATTCATCCACATTGTTGTATGTAGTTGTGAGGCATTTCTTCTTGTCAATGTGTAGTATTCCACTGTGTGGATATACCACAACTTATTTGTCATTCTTCTGTTGATAACATTTGATTTGTTTCCAGTTTGGATTATTACAAATAATGCTTTTATTAACATTACTGCATATGACTTTCGATAAACATATAAGCATTTCTGTTGGGCACATACCTAGGAGTAGGACCGCTGGGTTATGGAGTGTGCATCTGGCCACCATTAGCAGATATAGCTAAGCAGTTTCCAAAGTCGTTTTATCAATTTATACTGTCATCAGTATTTTATAAGAATTCCAACCACTTCGCATTATCACCAACATTCAGTATTGTCTTTTTCTTTGTAGTCATTCTAGTGATTGTGGTTTTATATCATATTTTATTGCTTACAAATTAATTTGCATCTTTATATCTTCCTTTCTATTCCTTATGTCTTTTATTTATTAATATTTTTCTTGCTTTAGGGCAGTCGCCAGGACTTCCAGTATAATTTAAATAAAAGTCCTTATAGTAGGTATCCTTGCCTCATTCCCAATCTTAGATGAAAAGTGTTCAACATTTCCTATGAGGTATGAAATTTGCTATAGGTTTTTTGTAGATAACATATATTAAATTAAAGAATTTCCCTTATATTTGTAGCAAATTTAAGTTTGCTATGTTTTTGTCATGATGCTTTTTTGGCACCTATTGAAATCATCATATAATTTTTCATATAATTTGTGTAAAATTAGATCATTGTTTTTTTTTTTTTCCTTTAAATATGTTGTAGAGTTCACCATTGACAGTCTCTGGGTCTGGAGGTTTCTTTGTGCAAAGGTTTTTAATTATAAATTCAATTATTAAATTCAATAGTTATAATTGTTGCAACTTAAATTTTTTCTTGTGGGAGTGAATTGTATTTTTCCAGGGACTGTCCCATTTCATCAAAATTTTCAAAATTGTAGGTATAAAGTTCTTCATGATACTGTCTTATTATATTGTAATGTATCTGTAACCCATACTGTAGTGCCCCTTGTAGTATTCCTGATGCTAGTTACGTGGTTTGTATATATTTTTTTCTGGATCAGTCTCAGGGATTTATCGATTTTTTTCTAGTTTTTTTCAAAGGACCAACTTTTAGCTTTGTTGATTCTCTCTGTTGTAGCTGTTTTTCTATTTCATTGATTTGTGTTGTTAGTTTTGTTATTTTTTCCTCTTTCTTTAATTTGTTGTTCCTACCTTCTTGAGATGGACTTTCAGCCTTTTAAAAAATAATAAGTATTAATTTAAAGCTATAAATTTCTCTAAGCATAGCGTAAGGAGCATCACACAGGATTTCAGATGTAGTATTTTCATTAAGAGTGAGTTCAAAATGCATTTTAATTTCCATTGTGAATTTATCCTTGACTCATGGGTTTTTCTTCCTCCCCAAACTTCAGTGGCCATAGGAACAACCACCTGAGAGCCTTGTCAAAATAGGGTTTTAGAGGCTCACCTCAAACCTCCTAGATTAATATTTCTGGGATGTAGACCAGGGAATCCACATTTCGCAAGCTCTCCAAGGGATTTATATACAAATGGGCTGCCAGACCACAATTTGGTAGCAGAGCAAGTTTGATTCACCCGTATTGCCAGTACCCAGCACTGGGGCTAGCATAAATCATGTTTTTAAAAAGTGGGTGAACCAATGGGTGAGGAGAGAAAGTAAATCAAAGTGCTATGTTGAGAGAATTGGAACTCTTGAAAGCTATAAATTAAGGGCCCCACTATGGCATCATTTGGTCCCAATTTAATCCATTCAGAATAGAGTACTTTTGTCTTCAAGTCTCACCTGTCCCATTCTGCTGTCCTGGAACATGCCCTTAAGCATGGGTGCCTGCCTGTGTACCGGCCCAGAGGAAGTAGGGGTGGCACAGAAGATGACCTGAGAAGGGCTGTTCAGAGCTGGGCAGTATTGCCTGCCCCACCGTGAAGTCTACCCCCAGGCCTTGGCTGGGACAATGCCCATAGAATCCATTCTAAATAGGGTTATATACCACGCCTCTTAGAGCCCTAAGCATCCTCCCATCTCAAAGCTTTTGAAAACTTCCACAGGACCTTTCTGCCCCACCCCAACCGCAGAGCCCCCATCCCTGTCTCCTCGGCACTTGCAGCCCCTGTGAGTTCCTCTCTCAGCGGCCTCTTGGCCACCTCTCCCCTGCGTGCCTCTCTCAAGCATCTCAGAAAAGGCGGAGTTTGACTTCCCCAGCCAGCTATTGTCCCGGTAGCACAGCCCCCACGCCAGCATCCCCACCCAGTCGGCCGGCCGGCCAGCCAGCCGGCTGCTCCCCAGCCTCACCGGCACCCCCTCCCCGCCCCGCCCCAGGGAGGACCAGGCTGGCGGCTGGGAGTCTCCCTGCCTGCTCAGCCTCCCTCCTTTCCTCCCTCTTCCTCCAAGCCTCCCTCCCTCCTCCTTCCTCCGCCCGCCCCTGAGGCAGGGACCGTGCAAATCGAGGAGAGGGGGGACGGACAGTAGAGATGGGGTCCAGCTTAGAGCCCCGGGCTCCCCGCTGATGCTCTATCCAGGCTGAGTATCCTAGCATCTTGGGACCTGGATTTGCATGAGCTGGGGTGGTTCCCAGGGCAAGAGGGTAGCTCCGGCACACCCGTAGTCCCCCCATTTTGCATCAGGACCCCCCCTCGGATGCTCTGAGCCACCCTCCTCAACCCGGATCTAAAACCCGGGACACAGCTATCAGGCCAGCCTCTGTCTCCACCCCACCCCCTCTTTCTGGCGTCCATCCCCTCCCCAACACCACCTCTGCTGCTGCCTCTGGCTTGGACCTGCACCTCTTCCCCATCCCCGCCAGGCCTAGGGTGCGGGGTGAGCCTGGATGGGAGCCCCCTCAAACTGGGGCTCTCCCAGGCCATAGCCCGAGTGCTCCCAGGGAGGAGCCCCGGACCCTGAGCATCTGCTAGAGGCTTGGCAGAGGCCCCGCGGGGACCGTGTCTTCTGAGGACAAAAGGCGGCGGCCAGCAGGCAGACGGGGGGGGGCGGGGGGGAGACCGGCAGCCAGGCGGGCAGACGGGTAGCAGGGGCCAGCGCTGGCCCCCCTCCCAGTTTGGCGGTGGCATGAAGATGGGGGTGGGAGTGTGTAGTGGGGGAAGCACCTGCCCGGACCCCCACCTGCCATCTAGCTGGGCACCTCAAGGCTGTGTGCTGCCCATCTGGTGTTTCCCAACACCCCCACCCCTGCCCAGTGCACCCCTCCCCTGCCTGCTTCCCCTGATGTCTGCGATTTAGACCAGCCCAGCTGTATCCACGGCAACAGAAGCAGGAGTGTCACTGGCCGCCAGATCACCGAGGGTCCCACAATGTGGCCTGTGCTGTGATTTATCCTTGGTGAGAGAGCTTGAGCCCCCTCCCTGGATTCCGAGACTGCCCTGCTGAGAGAGCCCAGGTAAGTAGTCAGCATCCCTCCACCAAAGATGGGGGCTGGGAGTTCTCTTCGGTCTTTCTATACAGATTTCAGAGTCTCCATCACTGCCACGCTCTCTCTTTCTCTCTGTCTGTTAGTCTCTCACTGTCTCTCCGCTCCATCACAAGGGCTACTTGGGCACCCAAGCCCTGAGAGTCCTCTAGCCATCCCCACCTTTCCCAATCCCAAATGTCCCATGAGAAAGGGAACCACCACCTGTTTCCCCTGTACGGGGTCTGTTTTTATCATTATGGTCGCGTTTGGGCAAGAGGCTGTATTAATATTTCCTTGTGTGCTAGCTGTGGAAGGCATGCCTGGGAGCCTGTCGTGTTCTCCTCACAATGCCTGCACCCTGGGCAGGCTCAGCCTCCTGCAGCTGCCTCCTCTCCCTCCCTCCTCCTCCACTCTCCTCCAGTTTCCTTGGCTTGCATGCAGGGTGTGTGTCTGTCTGTCTGTATCTGTGTGTGTGTGACCAGGCAGGTGGGTAGACATGACAGAGAAGCTGCTCCCAGCCCAGACCACCCCCTACTCCTTCGTTCCTTCTCCCCTCCCTCCCTCCCTCTTTTCCTCCCTCCCTCCCTCCCTTTCTCCCCTCCCTCCCCTGTCTTTCCCCACAGGTAGCAGACTTATGCTCACTCAAACCTGAAGATATTTCCGTGATTCCAAGATAGGGTGAGGAGGCCACTGTAAGGCTAAAAGGAAGGTGAAGTGGGGGTGGGGACCATTTCCAGGCCCTAGGCTGCCTGATGGCTCTGTGGTGACAAGGACCATACAACTCATCACCCTGCAGAGGCCGGACACAACATGATTATCCCCACAGTGTGGACCCCACCCTCTATCACAAGGCTGTCTATCTGTGTTTCAGACACCATGTTGTGTCTGAGACCCCAGATCTTACAGCCTGTGCACAGTGGTCTGTGGCCTCTATGCCTGCAGGGGCAAAAGGCCTGGTACATGGAGAACATGGAGTCTCCAGGGACACTTCCCCCAACTACTAGCTCTGCAACTTCAGTGAAACTGAGCCACTTACTAAACCTCAGTTTTCCCATCTGTCAGAGAGACTAGTGACCCTTCCGTCATGGGTATGTGTAGTGACTAAATGAGTTGGTGCATGGAAATAAAGGGTGTGTATAGAAATGGTCCTGAATCGATGCCAGCAAAGCTCATGATCAATATTGTTGCTGATTATTCATGATTTATATTGTTATTGATTATTTGTGGGAGGGACTGACCGCTCTTCTCCAGGGTCTTGGCAGAGATCTTGGGAGGGCAGCATGTAGGCAAATAGGGAGGCTGAGTAGTGGAGTGGAGGCAGGATAAGCTCTGTGTTATAACTGCTCATTTGTAGGGAGTAATAAGTGGTGGCTGTGGGCAGAGCCTCCTGCCCTCACCCAACTCCATGCTTCTTTACTTGCACTTTTCCCTGTCACCCTGTCTGTGCACGCACGCATGTGAGTGCACAGACACACACACAGACAGACTTTAGCCCCCCCCCCCCCGCCAATTTAGCAGAGACCTGGATTGCAGCCTGCAGTATTCCTGGCCCTGGTGATGTATGCATCTCCCTGTTGAGGGGAGACTTGGCAAGAGTGGCCTTTGGTCAGTGGTTGGCAGGGCCTGTAGACAAGGCTGTAGCTTCTGAGATAGCAGGGCTTTGGGTAGAGCTGGGGTGTGGCCCATATAGCAGCCAGACCTCTGAGGAAGAGGTCCTGGGGAGTTGCTAACGTAGAGCCTGAGCTGGGGAAACCGTAAGGTCTGCGGGCTGGTTTCTTGATGTGGAGATGTGGTGAAGCACTGGGTAATGGGTTGGTGGCTGTGGGTAATGGAGAAGGGTCCTCAAGGCTGGGGAGGAGGAAGATGGAAAAGACGGAGGTCCAGAAAACCCCCTATGTGGGGACAGAGAGGGTTGGGACTTTGTGTTATAGAGTAGGTTCTCTAAAGAAGTACTTGGTGTAGAAGAGAAAGGACCCAGCCTGTGGTCCAGAGGCATCTGGCCCTCAGCATGGGTGCATATGTGCAACTGAAAACATGTGGCTGTATATGTAGTCTGTTTGTGTTTGTGTGTCAGTTCATGGGCACTGTGCATATGCATGAATCTGTGTGAGCAGGCTACATGATAGTGTGTGCAAGTGTGTGGGTGTTTGGATAGGCTTCTGTATGTGTATAGAAGAGTGGCTATGACTTTGCATGTCTGTATGGATGAGTAAATGGGCATATTTGATTCTGAATTTAAGTGAGGGTGTGTTTCTGTGAGCCAATAGGCCTGTTGAATGTCTGGTTGTATGTGTATGTGGTATCAATTTATCTTTCAGTGTTCATGTGTGGTTGTAGGTGTGTGAATGTGAGGATTTCAGAATGCCTGGCTATGCATATCCAATTAGGTGAATGCCTACTTGTATCTGATTGTGTACATCTGTGTGCGCCCATTCGTGCATATGAGTGTAGGTGCATCTAAATGGTGTGTTTGTGAGTCTAAGGGCATGTGTGTGTGTGTCTGTGACCGTATGGCAGGGTGTGTGTGAACATGCTTCTGTGTGGGTGTGTCTGTCATGTATATGTATGAGTAAGCCTATGTGTGAATGTCCATGTGGATTTTCCAGCATTTTTAATTATGTGTATGGCTGTGTGTACATATTTGAGTACATTTTGTCTGTAGATAGACCTATGGGTTCACATCTGATTAAGGAAATGTTAGTGTAGGTGGTCATACTAGTAGAAAGAGAACTAATTGTGTGCATAAGGAAGAGTGTGTAAATCCTTTTTTGTGCATTAACATATATTTTTTGGATATGCTTATATGTGCACATTTGATTATGTATATGAGTAGGGCTTGGGGAGATGTATGTCTGTATATATGTGCACAAAAGCCTGTGTGCATAGGTGAATGGGGTGCATTTGTGTATATGTCTAATTTTTTGTGGATACACTATTATGTGTGAGTGCATGTCTGATTATGGTAGCATGAATAACTACATTTCATAATGTTTGGGTGCACATGTCTCAAATGTTTTGTTTGAATTTCTAAGTGTGAGTGTGGCTATGTGAGTGACTGAATGTCTGGCTGTGTGTGCATTTGAACATGTCTGTATATTTCCTGTGTGTTCACACACATCTAAATGTGTGTATGTGAATATGCCTGTGTGTGCGCCTGTCTGAATGTACAGATACGTGAATGTACCAGTTTGTACAGTTATAATTATTTGCATAGGTGTGTTGTTTATACTCCATTGTTTGTTCTGGAATGTATGTTATGGAACAGTGTAAATAAATATCTGTGTGCACCACTATTGGCCTGTAATTGTGTTTGTGTGTGTATGAGGATATCTTTGCATGTGTGTGTCTGTGATGAGTGTTATAAATTCTTCTTGTGCAGGTGTACAAGTATGTGAGAATATGTGACGGTCCTTCCATGTGTGCATGTGTGCAAACATACCTTTGTGTCCAAGTGTAAATGGATCTTCTTTTATTTGCATACCTCTCATGTGGATGTATGAACATGTGGGGACATACACAGTATGCACATTTGTGATTGTGTGTGTTTTGAAGTATATTTATGTCTCCACATCTGATTGTGTGCATAGAGTAATGAATGCTGTATAAGTCTATATGCATGTGAATATGCCACAGGTGTACATGCTCAATTGTGTGTGTAAGTCTATGTGTGCTAGAATGTCTGTATATGAATACATCATCTCATTGACAAGCATGTACACTTCTGGGGATTTATATGTTTGAGTATACTCATGTGTGACTGTGTGAGAATATGGTTATGTGGTCATATCTGGGGGTGTGTGTGTGTATAAATTTGGGTGCTCACTTCGGTGTGTCATGTTTATTCATTGTCTCGTTGGGTGTAATACAGCGTCTGCCTATCTATGGGCATGTGTAAGTATGCCTGTATGTACACCTGTATTTGTGAGTGAATGTGTGTCCTTGATGGGCATTAAGTCATGTGAATGTCTGCCATGCATGTATGTCTATGTTTGAGAGTAAATGGATATGCACATGTGAGATCAAGTGCAGTGTGAGTGTGCATTGCTGTAAATCTATGTGTAGGGATAAGTGGAGATATTTGTACATGTTCTTCTCTGATGGTATGTGTGTGAGAGAGAGATACTCGGCCTTGAGCCTGTGCATATAATCTCTGCCACTAAGGGGGTGATAAGGGAGGGTACTTACAAGTCTATGTGATGCTTTGTGTATCCAAGCATGTATTTATGTACATGACTGAGAGTCAGTGGCACTCTGCTAGACCATATATGGTTCTAACTGTGTAGACATCCCACAGGATGGCAAGCTGTAACACCTGAGCAATCCATGACCCCCTTCTGGGGCCTCCCTGGCCTTGACTACATGCTGAGTTTTAATGGGTTGTCTCAGGATAATTCCTGTCATCATTCACACTCAAGAAGCAGGAACCAATCAAGACTGATGCCCTACTAGGGAAGGCGGTCTGTGACCTCTTTAGAAGAGGATTTCTTGAAACACAAAAACCTCCCTTCTCATCACCCCACCATCAAAGGCCCCGGACAAAGTGGCATTGTATGGTGTCTGGGGTTGTGAATGATTTTCACAAAGAGCACCCAAATTATGCCACTCAGGCAGAAATCTAGATGTGAATGTGTATGTATAAGTGAAGGTATATCTGTATGGAGCAGGAAAATAGAAGGAGAGGGAAAGAAAAAGTATCTGGGTGCTGTGTATGTAAGAGAGAGCTTTGGTGTTTCTGAGTAGAGTGTATATGTGAGACATTTGGCTGTACATGTATACCCTGCTTTCCAAAAGTTCTCATTAAGCCATTTCCCTTTTACAAAAGACCTACATTTTTCATAAAAGCAAAGTGACATAACAAATTTTCAGAAAGCAGGGGATACTCTTCACTTTACACCATTTCAGCTTACAAAAGGTTTAATAATAATCTCTACTTTTGGATAGTGGGGAAACCTATATTTGGGAAGGATGAGTGTGAACGTGGATGTATG